GGATATAGGGATTTGGAAGGCTTCAGGAATTTGTCGCCGCAGAGTCTGGATTCTTAGGGCCCTTAAATGGGGTTTGGGTCGATGTGTGTTACATATGTAGAATGTACGGTTTCACGGGTGGGGCTCGTGTCGGTAATCTCCTCTCTAAATGGATTTGCATGCTTCTTGCAATATACTACACAACGAAGATATACAGCTGTATATATATATATATATTTATATTTATATTGAACACCAAATATTACTCGGGGTGCTCTGATTGAAAATAATATTCAGATTAGATGTACCTATTATTCAAGTATAATAGTCATAGGATGTACGGTTTTGTGCCTTAGGAATTGTGTGCCCTCAGGATGTACGGTTTTGTACGCTTCGGGTCTTGTGCAATAGGATGTACGGTTTTGTACGCTTCGGGTCTTGTGCAAGAGAATGTACGGTTTTGTACGCTTCGGGTCTTGTACTAGGATATGTACGGTTTTGTACGGTTGTGTACGCCCTGGGCTCTTAATTAACAGTCTAGGATGTACGGTTTTGTACGCTTTTGTACGGGTCGTGACCGGGTAGTGTCGTCCCGGATACGGTTGTGTACGGGTAGTGGTTTCCCGGATGTACGGTTTTCTACGGTTAGGTCTAGGATGTACGGCTTTGTACGGTTTGCTTCGGGTAAGGGGTCTCTCTTAGTGTACGGTTTTGCTTCGGGGTCCTGTGTACTCTACGGCTGCAAGTGCACCTGCATCGCTCTGGCTGCTCCACCGGATTCAATTCGATCTGAGTGCCCCGACATATATCTTGATCAGCTGGATGTCAGGTTCCTGCCACAAAACACAGAACCGTACAAAACCGTACATTTCCGTACATCGTAGTTATTTATCAATCTTCCGTACCCGTACGCGAACCGTACAAAATCGTACATCCTTTGTGTACACTAACTTATGACTACGTGGCACTTCCTAGACTAATCTCTGGTCGAGATTTTGGCCAAGTCGTGGCCGAAAGCACCAAGTTCTTGGCTCAGCTTTTCTAATCTTATATAGGATATTAATCTGATTTCTGGCTTAAGAGCAAGGTCCATGGACCCCGGGAGCAAGATCTCGGGAGCTCAGGCGACTCCGTTGGGATTGCACCAGGGGAAATCTTAACATGTATGTGCCTCTTGCAGGAGGCCCTTCGTGCTGCAAAGCAAGAGCTTGCCGAGGCTTGCTGGTTCTCTGTAATGTATCGTTTGCTTCCTTAAACAAAAAATGTTGACAAGCTGTCAGGTCGATGGAGTTGCAAGGTTGGGGACGGCAGGGAGTGTTGTAGCTTGTTTGCAAGAGTATAATTTTGTATAGCCCTAAACCCTAAAACCCTAAACCCCTAAACACTTAAATGCCTAAACCCCTAAACCCCTAAACCCTAAACCCAGGATTCGCAAGCGACTCAACTTTGGGATGGAATCCCAGCACCTGCTGCTGACACGCAGCCCGACGGCTTCGACGACGACGACTTGAATGCAGAGCTGGAAAAGCTTATCGATGAATGTGGTCTCGATGAGGTTGGCACCGAGTGCTCTGCATTAAACCCCCAACACGACCCCCAATAACACTATAGTTCCTAAGCCCTACACCCTGGACTTAAACGGTTCCAGATAGAAGTGAAGACGATATATACGATGTTTGCACCAAATCTTAATTGAAACCAACCATGACTCTGTGCCCTCACCAGGACTCCGGCCTGATGTCCACGACGGGCGGGTCCGACCTCGATCGGTTGAGAGCAGAGCAGGCCCGCTTGAACAAAGAGTGTGATGATGCTATGATGCGAGTAGCAGAAGATGCAAAAAAACGCAAAGCCGAGGAAGAGGCTGCAAGGCAAAGGGCTCGCGAGGAAGCAGAGCTTCTACAGAAGTTACAAGAGGATCTAGAAAAAGAGAAGCAGCAGCACGCAGCAGCAGAAACGGAGAGAAAAAGACAGGAGGCAGCAGAGATGCAAAGGAAAAGACAGGATGCAGCAGAGATGGAAAGGAAAAGGCAGGAGGCAGCAGAAATGGAAAGGAAAAGGCAGGAGGCAGCAGAGATGGAAAGGAAAAGGCAGGAGGCAGCAGAGATGGAGAAGAAAAGGCAGGAGGCAGCAGAGATGGAAAAGAAAAGGCAGGAGGCAGCAGAGATGGAAAGGAAGTTGCAGGAGGCAAAAGAGATGGAAAGGAAGTTGCAGGAGGCCGGTACCCTGCATGTGTCCAGTGCTGGGTTCAAAAGGGCATTCAGCCCACCGAAGAATGCGAATCCGCATCGAATGGAGATGTCCCCGCTGTCACTGCAACTGAAGAAGGCACAAGAAGAAGAAGAGCTCCTAAAAAAGGAGATGGCGACTGCTGCCAAAAAGCAGAAGCTAGAGGAGCTGCAAAGGAAAAATGAGCTCATGAGGAACAAGCTTGCAGCTTTGGGTGTGCCACCAAGCCCGAGTGTGCCACCAAGCCTGACGAGTGTGCCACCAAGCCCGGCGAGTGTGCCACCAAGCCCGGCGAGTGTGCCACCAAGCCCCGCGAGTGTGCCACCAAGCCCCGCCCCGAGTGTGCCACCAAGCCCCGCCGCGAGTGTGCCACCAAGCCCGGCCGCGAGTGTGCCACCGACCTCGGCGAGTGTGCCACCAAGCCCGACGACGATGCCACCTCCGATGGCTGATCTCCGCAGATCCGGCCCTTTGCAGCACCAAGGAAGCAACGTCTCGAGTTTCTCCGACAAGTCGGACGAAGCAGCAGCAACCAGGTATGCAATTATTTATTCCATATGTTAAAACTATTTTTTTTGCTAAACCCTAAACCCTCAATTGTCTTCAATGTCTAAAGCATATCAACCCCGAGACCCCCTGAACCCACCGACTCCCTAAACACTAAACCCAGAAACCCGGCCCCTAAACCCTGTGGCTGAAGCCTTGAGCCCCTTTGTCCGAGGAAGTTGCCCGGAAAAATGCTGCCGCCGCCCTTCAAACAGTACGCCGACTCACGACAAATCCGAACAAGTGCACGTTCGAGATCTTGCAGCAGTGGCGAAACGGCGGCGAGGACCGGAAGAACATCGTCAAGGACTACATGAAATCCGGACAGGATGTGACGAAAGTGACGGTGAACCTCATCATGCGAGATGTGCTGAGTGAGCAGCTTCCTTGCAATATGTGTAACATGTATACCTATATATAAGGGTTTAGGGTTTAGGGTTTAGGGTTATACAGGGCATTAATTATTGGGCCGCTTGCTTCTATGACTGAGGCAGGAGAAGAAGAAGAAGGAAAAACTGACTGAGGAGCAGGTCTTCAGGCACTACGAGCCGAACCAAGCGAAAGCAAGGGAAGCGATCGACTTCGCACTCGCCGAAGGACGCAGGGATCTCAGTTCGCCACATATATATATATATATACATATATATATATATAGATATTTATTTATTTATGTATATATATATATGTATGGACATAGATAGATGGATGGATGGATTGTATGTGTAGTCATAATACTTAAAGACACATCGACTTGCTAGTCAGGTTACGAGAACGACCCGAACTTCCCGGATCACGCCGGCTACCGCCTCTACAAGATCTTCACGGGTTTCAGCGAAACACAGCTCTTCGAGAAACGACGAGAAATCGAGGCCAATATCAGGCCCCTCGCCCAGGACCAACGACCGGCTGCAAAAACACTGTTTGCCGAGCTGTGCTTTAGCTGCATTGATCAGTGGTGCACCCCAAACCAGAAACCCGAAAACCCAAAACCCTAAACTCCTAA